TGCAAGAGGGAGCAGAGAGGGGTGAGGAGGGTCCGTGTCACCCCCCAAAGGCCACCATCCCTTTGGGTGTCCCCCCCCCCACCCCAGGGGACACTGTCCCCGTCCCCGTCCCTCCCCGGTGCTCACCGGGTGCTGGTGGCCTGGCCCGGTAGCGGTGGACGCCGGCGATGAAGAAGCCAAGGCCCAACACCATCATCACGGTGGCCGCGGCCACCTTCAACGTCAACCCCGGGGACAAGCCAGGACCTGTGGGGACATGGCAGGGGGGAGGTGACCAATGATGTGACAAGGACCCAGGTGGCCAGGTGGGTGTCCATCCCCCCCTTCTCCCCACCACCCCAACTCACCCCAGTCCTCCAGGAGGGGCTGGTCCAAGCTGACGTGTTGCACCGAGCAGGTGAAGGTGTCCCCGGCCACCGGGGCCACCATCAAGGTCAACTGGATCTGGTAGGTCCAGTCACCGTTGGGGATGGCGGAGACGGGGGGGTGGTCACCGGGCCCCACGATGTCCCCGTTGTGCAGCCAGATGACGGTCACCTCAGGGGGGTAGAAGCCCCAGACGTGGCAGGTGAGGAGGACGGGCGCCCGGGCGTTGCCCGTCTTGGAGGCGATGACACGGGCTTGGGGTGGCACTGGAACGAGGAAGGGGGACAGTCAGGGATAGGGGGAGTCCCCTCCCAACCCTGGGTTGTGTCCCCATCTGATGTCCCCACCCTGCCATGCAACACCCCCATGCAAGGTCCCCATGGAAGGTACCCATACAACGTCCCCATGGAAAGTCACCATGCAACGTCCCCATGCAACGTCCCCATGGAAGGTTCCCATGGAAGGTTCCCATGGAAGGTCCCCATGGAAGGGGCCCATGCAACATCCCCATGGAAGGTTCCCATGGAAGGTCCCCATACAACGTCCCCATGGAAAGTCACCATGCAACGTCCCCATGGAAGGTCCTCATGCGACGTCCCCATGCAATGTCCCCATGGAAGGTCCTCATGCGACGTCCCCATGCAATGTCCCCATGGAAGGTCCTCATGCGACGTCCCCATGCAATGTCCCCATGGAAGGTCCTCATGCGACGTCCCCATGCAATGTCCCCATGTCACATCCCCATGCAATGTTCCTGTGTAACGCCCCCATGAGATGTCCCCATGGAAGGTCCTCATGGAAGGTCCTCATGCAATGTCCCCACGCAACGTCCCCAGGAAGCCTTCCCATGCAACATCCCCATGCCACTTCCCCATGCAACGTCCCCATGAAAGGTTCCTGTGCCACTTCCCCATGCAACGTCCCCACACCACATCCCCAGGAAGCCTTCCCATGCAACATCCCCATGCCACTTCCCCATCGAAGGTGTCCTCATGCCACTTCCCCATGGAAGGTCCTCATGCAATGTCACCATGTCACATCCCCATGCAACGTTCCTGTGTAACGTCCCCATGAGATGTCCCCATGGAAGGTCCTCATGGAAGGTCCTCATGCAATGTCCCCACGCAACGTCCCCAGGAAGCCTTCCCATGCAACATCCCCATGCCACTTCCCCATGGAAGGTCCTCATGCAATGTCCCCATGACACATCCCCATGCAATGTTCCTGTGTAACGTCCCCATGAGATGTCTCCATGAAGGTCCTCATGGAAGGTCCCCATGCAATGTCCCATGGAAGGTCCTCATGCAACGTCCCCATGCAATGTCCCCACACCACGTCCCCAGGAAGCCTTCCCATGCAACATCCCCATGCCACTTCCCCATGGAAGGTGTCCCCCCCCATGTCACATCCCCATGCAATGTTCCCGTGTAATGTCCCCATGGAAGGTCCCCATGCAACGTCCCCATGCAATGTCCCCATGGAAGGTTCCCATGCAACGTCCCCATGGAAGGTCCCCATGCAATGTCCCCATGGAAGGTGCCCATGCAACGTCCCCATGGAGGGTCCCCATGCAATGTCCCCATGGAAGGTGCCCATGCAACGTCCCCATGGAAGGTGCCCATGCAACGTCCCCATGGAAGGTGCCCATGCAACGTCCCCATGTCACATCACCATGCAATGTTCCTGTGTAACGTCCCCATGAGATGTCTCCATGAAGGTCCTCATGGAAGGTCCCCATGCAATGTCCCATGGAAGGTCCTCATGCAACGTCCCCATGCAATGTCCCCACACCACGTCCCCAGGAAGCCTTCCCATGCAACATCCCCATGCCACTTCCCCATGGAAGGTGTCCCCCCCCATGTCACATCCCCATGCAATGTTCCCGTGTAATGTCCCCATGGAAGGTCCCCATGCAACGTCCCCATGCAATGTCCCCATGGAAGGTTCCCATGCAACGTCCCCATGGAAGGTCCCCATGCAATGTCCCCATGGAAGGTGCCCATGCAACGTCCCCATGGAGGGTCCCCATGCAATGTCCCCATGGAAGGTGCCCATGCAACGTCCCCATGGAAGGTGCCCATGCAACGTCCCCATGGAAGGTGCCCATGCAACGTCCCCATGTCACATCACCATGCAATGTTCCTGTGTAACGTCCCCATGAGATGTCCCCATGAAGGTCCTCATGGAAGGTCCTCATGCAACGTCCCCATGCAATGTCCCCACACCACGTCCCCAGGAAGCCTTCCCATGCAACGTCCCCATGCCACTTCCCCATGGAAGGTCCTCATGTCACTTCCCCATGCAACGTCCCCAACACACCACCCGACACCATGTCCCCGTGCAAAGCTCGTGCGACCCCCCCGTGCGAAGCCCCCGTGCGCGGCGCCGCAGGGCTCACTCCGCCGCAGCCCCGTGGAGCCCCAGAAGTGGGGGGCCAGTTGGTGGCAAGCTTGGCGCCGGGCCTCGGCACGCTCCACCCAGGTGGTTTCGTTGTTGAGTTTGGTGGCGACGGCGGTGGCGACGTTGTGGAGGAGCCCCCAGTCGCAGGCGACGAACTTTTTGGCGTTGGAGTCGTAGCAAACCAGGGGGTTCTTGTTGAAGACGATGGAGAACTCGAAACCCAGCACGGAGCTGTAGGCCGCCAGCGGGCAGGAGCTGGCCACGTGCATCAGGAAGGCGCCTGAGAGGGGGACGTGGGGGTAGGTGGCATCTCCTGGGGTACCTCTGTCCATCCCTCCATCCACTCCCATCCATCCCCATCCCTCCATCCATCTCCATCTCTCCATCCCTCCACCCATCCTCATCCCTCCATCCATCTCCATCCCTCCATCCATCCCTCCATCCCCATCCCTCTCCATCTCTCCATCCATCCCCATCCTTCCATCCATCCCCATCCCTCCATCCATCCCCATCCCACCATCCCTCCATCCAGCTTCTTCCCACCATTCCTCCATCCATCCCACTATCCATCCACCCATCCCCATCCCTCCATCCATCCCCATCCCTCCATCCATCTCCATCCCACCATCCCTCTATCCATCCCCATCCCTCCATCCATCTCCATCTCTCCATCCCTCCATCCATCTCCATCCCTCCATCCATCCCTCCATCCCCATCCCTCTCCATCTCTCCATCCATCCCCATCCTTCCATCCATCCCCATCCCTCCATCCATCCCCATCCCACCATCCCTCCATCCAGCTTCTTCCCACCATTCCTCCATCCATCCCACTATCCATCCACCCATCCCCATCCCTCCATCCATCCCCATCCCTCCATCCATCTCCATCCCACCATCCCTCCATCCATCCCCATCCCTCTATCCATCCCCATCCCTCCATCCATCTCCATCTCTCCATCCCTCCATCCATCTCCATCCCTCCATCCGTCTCCATCCCTCCATCCCGCTATCCATCCATCCATATCCATCCCTCCATCCATCCCCATCCCTCCATCTATCCCCATCCCTCCATCCATCTCCATCTCTCCATCCCTCCATCCATCTCCATCCCTCCATCCATCTCCATTCCCATCCCTTACTGGGAGGAGGTCTCCAACTCTCCATCCATCCCCATCCCTCCATCTATCCCCATCCCTCCATCCATCCCTCCATCTCTCTCCATCCCTCCATCCATCCCCATCCCTCCATCCATCCCCATCCCTCCATCCATCTCCATCCCTCCATCCCCATCCCTCCATCCGTCCCCATCTCTCCATCCATCCATCCATCCATCCATCCATCCATCCATCCATCCATCCCCATCTCTCCATCCATCTCCATCTCTCCATCCATCTCCATCTCTCCCCATCTCCCCATCCATCCCCATCCCTCCATCCATCCCCATCCCTCTATCTATCTCCATCCCTTCATCCATCCCCATCTCCCCAGCCCTCCATCCTCTCCATCCCACCACCCATCTCCATCTCCCCAACCCTCCTGGGGTCCAGGGTCCCACAGGACTGAGCCCCCCCCCAAACTGTCCCCAGAGCCCCACAGGGCTGAGTCCCCCCCAAATAATCCCTCGGGTCCCACAGGGTTGAGCCCCCCCCCAAACCATCCCTGGGGTCCCATGGAGCAGAGCCCCCCCAGAATGTCCCCATGGTCCCACAGGGCTGAGCCCCCCCCAAACCATCCCTGGGGTCCCACAG